TAAAGAACCATCTTTTTGTAATTTGATTACTTTATAGTATATCCATTACGTAATTACGTAAGCCGTAGCTTGGTAATGCTAAAATTATTTCTTCAAGCTTTATTTTACAAAATAAACAATGCATCCAGCTGTATATTTATTTTTATTAAATACACACACACACACACACACACACACACACACACACACACACAGAAACATTTGAATTATTATTTTTTTTTTTTTTTACTGTAATCAATGTTTTCATTCCTTCTTCTTCCTCTGAAGTGCTTTACTGCAATTTCTCTGCCACACACACACATACACACTTTGCCCATTATACCTGGCTTGCCAAGATGATGGAATAACGGGATTTCAGTGAAAACCAAATCATATAAAAATATGAAAAAAAAATATATAATTAAATATTTCAGTTTTATCTCTGCCTCTACCACACACGCTCTCCCACTTTCTCCCTTCATCCTGCTCTGCCACACCCCGCTCTCGATCTCTCTTTCTGGCTTCCCCGTAATAGTGTGCAGGTAGAGCACTACTACTACTACCACAACTTGCTCGCTCGTCCGTCTGCCAGGTAGAAACGGTAATTGTGCCACCAGACGAGGTGGCAACAGAATGAGCTGCCGCATGTGTTGCATGTGTTAAATTGTTTCGTACCTGGGCACTGATTCTGTCGCTTTCTTTGTTCGCTCGTTCGTTCGCGCCGGTTCCTCTTGCACCTTTATTGCCTAGTTTGCCACACATAGCTATGGATATCCACTCGTATATCCGCTACCTTCTGCAAATTGTAATCTGGGTTTTGCTGCCTCAAGTTGCATCACTCGCAGCCATTCGATTTGCAATAAATTCTCGCAGAAGGTTATTGAATATTTATAATGGGTATCGTAGTATCGTTTACAACTGGCCAAAGTGAAGGATTTCCGATCATATACGGTATATGTATATATGTATTGCTAGCAATGACTTGGACATAACTCGAAACGTTAATCGAACCAGTGATTGAATGAAATCTCCCATAAAACAAAAACAAGTTTCTATTGATTGATCATATATGTATGTATATTAGCCTCAGAGCATAAATAAAAGCATAAGACCTAAGCTTTTCAGGAAAAACTATGTAAGTGAATTGAATAATGTTACAAAAGAAGATTTCCAAAAGTAGATAAATATTACATGCGGACACCTTAGAGATAAGAACTCTAAAAAGTATGCTCTGGTAAGGCAAATTGCAAAAGTATCTGAATCAGTTAAACATAGAATTTAGGGTATTTGCTGGTCGATCACTTATAAAAATAGCAGCATTGCCATTTACTCTTAGTGGGATTTAGGGTATGTGCTAGTCGAGCTCCCTCAAAAAACTGCAAATTAAGCCTGCTCACTTACGCTTCGAGTTCAGGGTATCTGCTAGTCGGTCACTCTAGCGATTTTGTACATATAGTAACCCACTCGAATTCTATAAAAATCAACACGTTTTGCAGCTTATGGCTTATTGTTTTGAAAGTGCATCGCTAGACCACGAGATACGGGAACAGCTAACACCTTTTAACACGTGAAATGAACAGTTTTCGCAAGAAAAAAGTCGAATAAAACAATATAATAAAAAATAACAGAAACGAGAAAATGAAAAACAAAAACACTTGAGCAAAAAAATAAACAATTGTTCGGTCAGCTGGTCCATTGAATTGAATTTAAAAAAAAAAAAAAAAAAAAAAAATAGTGAACAAGATGGAATAGAACTAATATTGTGAGACACTGTTTATAAAGTCTCTGTCTTTCTCTCTCTCTATATATAGTCACTCTATCTCGCTATAAATTCAATATACTTCCTTGGTAACTGCATAATACTCATTAAAGGCCAAAACGCTGCTTGATCTATTTGCCGTTTTGCCACGCCCCCGATTCGTTGCAAATCAATGGAGGATATCAACAGTAATATGAAAGTCAGATTTTGAGTATTTAGCTGTAAAACCCCAACTTTCATGAGCTGCTGGAAAAAAACATCTTCCGATTTGCAGATAATTCAAGGGTATACACGGGTATACATGTTTCAAAAACTCTAGTGGCACAAAACCAATATACTCACTTCACTTTTGTGAATCAACATAACAAGGTATTTCAAATATGTTTAGGAATCTGACTTCGTGTTCAATGCTGGTTGCCCTCTCGATTTGAATGAATGCAAATATCTATTTCGCATGCTATTTGAAGCTGACATTAAATAGTTTTCCATTTTACGGGTGGAGAAGAGAATATCCTCTATGTAATTATGCATGCCAGCACAGTCGAGGGTATCGAGCAGAGGTCACAAAACAACAACAAAACAAACAAGAAAAATAAAGATGGGAAATCCAGACGATTCGAGACGAAATATATATATATTTATATATAGGTATGTATGTACAAACTAAAAGCCGGATGGATTAAATTGGGATTTATGCACAAACGCACTCGTGAACCTAGCAACACACACACATACATATATAGATAAATATATACACATATATGTATACGCTATGTGTATGTGTATGCTCGCCTTCTAGCTTTACCTTTGCCTCGCACACCTACCCTTGGGCAGGTTCACAGTTTTTACATTTCTCCGGCGCTGTCTCATTTTTCGGGGCAGATAAAAATGTTGAAACAGTAACCAAGGTAATTCCCAGGAGGCACAGCCAGTAAAAATGGCAGGATAACTGTGACTTACACATGGACACACAGACACACACATGCTCATTCCCCAAACAAGAATGGGTGTGTATGTGTGTGTGTGCGTGTGGAGCTGCAACTTTCTAGCTCTCATTCTGAGATTTACAGCATTTGCAACCGCACCAGGGGCATGGTCAAGTGGGTACACATGCCACAGAGGGGTCGGGTGCTCTGCCAGGAGCTGTGGGAGGTGCGGCTGTGTCAGACGGGGGGTAGGCGGTTTGTTTGCGATGCCAGCGTATGCACTTTTTATGTTAGTCAGCAAATTGGACGGCGCTTTCCGCACATTTTGTTGCAGCATGCAAAGTCGGGCCACAGCTTGCCCCCGGAAAGCCTGCTGCAAACACTGGTTAAAACCACTGTAAACAGAGGCAGAGACACAGAGAGTGGGAGAGTGTGAGTGTGTGTGTGTGAGCCAGGGCAGACATAACACAACAGCATAAAGTATCACGAGATATGAGTTATGTTTAGCTCTGCTTGTTGTGATTGTTGCATCAGTAATAAAGTGAGCACTGCACATGGCCGAGACTGCTCGACGCAGCAGATTATCGCTTGATGCGGCTTTAACATGGCCAACTACTGCTAACTGGCACTGCTCTTGATTTTGATTGCCAAATCTCACACAGAATCCCTGCACACATCTCTCCTCTCTCATTGGCCAATTAGCATCAATCAATTTTCATAGTTCGCACTGACCCAAATGTCTCCTGGACAATTGACATTTTCTCCAGCAGCTGGCTTGACGCCTAACCCTGACCGGTGCACAGTGGGGCTAAACATGACAGAAAACAGAACAGTGCTTCACTCTTTTAATGCCACCTAACCGATAATTGCGAAACAAGTCTGGGGAAAAATTGTTATGCTCTTTTCAAAACTTATATTTTATTTATCTTTTTTTTTTGTGGTATTTAAAAAAGACACAAATTTTATTTATTTTCATATATAAAGCACGTAGTATTTTTATCAAAATTCGCTATTTCATGTTTGGCAGGCAACTGTGAAGCACCCTGTTAAAAGATCACCCGGTGATTATTTGTTATATTTAGTTGACATAATGATTTTTGTCACAAAAAAGTGAAAAGCATCCACTGTGCAATGTTCAATATCTTAATATATTCCCGTCTCTCTCTAGCTCTCTTCTCACATACGAGTGACGTTCTTTATTGAGGAAATCTGTCTTCGTTTAGACAACTTGGACAACTTTTCGGAAAATGCAAATATTTTATATAAATTAACTTGGGTTATATTGTATTTACATATTTATATTCTATATTTTTATATTTTGAAAATAACAGGAAATCTGTTTTTTTTCGTTTTTGTTTTTTTAAATATTTAAGCAAAGCCTTTAGAATTTATATATTAATTAATTTTGCTTATATTGACATAATTATATTTAATATTTTTATATTTTAAAATTACAGGAAATCCTTCTTTCTTTTAAATATTTTAGCAAAGTCTTTAGCAAAGTCAATTTTTCGGAGTATACAAAAATATTTATATTTAC